AGGACAATAAATACTCATGAGGATATGGAGTAACAGGAACTAATACACTTCTGTAAGAGAGTAAACTGATACATATTTTCCGGACAACTTACAAAACACACATATATGTTGTGACCTAGCAACTCCACTCCTATGTATGTGCCCAACCAAAATGCACGCATAGATCAATCAAGGCACATCTACTCACTCGCCTTCCAGTCAAAACCTGGGAGTCATTCCACATTATCTAACCACCACACAATAGATAAATAAATCATGATACAGTCAAGCAACAGAATACTATATAGGAATAAAAATGAATTATGGTTATATGTAACATGGAAGAATCCCACAAACCAATATATTGAGCAAAAACATCACAAACAAAAGAATATAGTTCCATTTATATGAAGCTCAGAAGCAAGCAAAACTAGTGCTAAGAGAGTACTTGGCATTTTGCAGGGGAAAAGACTAAAGTCTGGAAAGACACTCCCCCCCACCCCCACCCCGGGATCTTGGGAATACTGGCAGTATTCCAACTTTGGATCTGGGTAGAGGTGACCCAGGTGTCTGCTTTGTGGCAACTAATAGTTGCACATTTACATTTAGGTTTTGTACTTCTCTTTGATAAACAGTTAACAAAACCTCAAAATCTATGAAATGTCTCTCTCATAGACATTTACCTAAAAATCCAATCCTCTCTCACATTACCAAAAATGTAATTTAAAATGAAATCTTGAGTTAATAGGTTTTTCTAGATAGTACAAGGAACTGAGGAGAGATACTGTACTTAATTCTGGATATTTTTTACATGAAATAGAAACATTCGTAGAATATCAATAAGATAAATGACATATTTTAAACTTGGAGATGAGCTCTAATTCCAAAATTTGTGAAATAAATCTGTGGGTTTATCACTGTAATATAGTCCTTTAAGAATTTAAAACCATAACTTTTCATTGTTTTCTGGTGACTATCCAAATTCTTTTACCATCTTAAAATAGTGGATATGAAATTAGATTCGTGTAGGAAAAAACCCCTTATTATAGTGTAATAATGACAAGTTACCTAAGTTTTATTTTGTAAAGCAGTAAAACTTCAAAATATCATCTAGAATAAAAATTGCAACTACCTGAATTTACCACGTGGATTTTGAAATAGAGGTACAGAACATTAGCAGTCTAACATAGTGATTCCAGAAATATCTCTTAAGTGGATTTTAAAAACATTACCAGAATTTTAAAGCTCAAGTAAAATTTTCTGCCATAATAGAATCCTGTTTGCTGTTAAGAGTCTTTTTAAGCTTTATATGAGTTGAGAGCTCATATATACTACTGCAGGGGCTATTCAGTTATTTATTCCAGGGGCATTATTTCAATTTAATCTTCATAAAAGCAACAAAACCTCCTAAGCACAAAACCTCCTTTAGCACCAAGTTTTAAAAAGAGCATTTATTACTCATGGTATATATCATATAAATGACATGATGTACACAGCTATTTATTTAAAAAAAAAAACATTCCTCTTCAAGCTGAGAAAGAAAATCTATTGTACTGTAGCACCACAACAATATTACAGAATAAATCTGTTTGTGTATTTTAAAGAAATGTTGACCAGGATTATCACTTTTAGCAAATTCCTTCTAAGTGTCATACTTTCAAAACTATAAATAGCTCATACCTTCCTGCCAACTTCATTCTAATTTTTAGTTTTGTAAGGTGCATAAAGGTCATTATTATAATCATATTTACCTATTCCTTTTTTTTTTTTTGAGACAGGGTCTCACTGTGTAGTTCAGGCTGACCTTGAAATCACTATATAGCCCAGGCTGGCCTCAAACTCGCAGCAATCCTCTAGCCTGAGCCTCCCAAATGCTGGGATTATAGGCATGTGCCATTACATCCAGCCATATTCTAATTTTAAAAACAGAAACAAGACAGGGGATTTAGCTCAGTGGTTCCACTGCCTGCCTCGCAAGCACAAGAACCCAAGTTCCATCCCTGGTACCAAAAAAAAAAAAACAGAAAAAAGACAATGTATTTTAAAAACAGACATGGGATCAGAAATCAGTTATCTTTAATTCTTTTATTTCCTTCTCCCCTAGGCCAAGTCAGTTCTTCCCACCTAAAATACATTACAACCGACTAGGAAATTGTAAAAAGACGTTGATTTTTAAGTATCTTACTAATCTTTATTCACAGTATTCTAAGCAGCCATTAGCATTAAGCACATTTTCCAAGATGGCACACAGTCATTATAGGTGCAGACTTTGGCATTTCATACAGTAAACTTTTTAGAGATTTAATTATTAAAATATGATAAACTCACACCTTTAACTTTACATCAGTCTTAACACTTCTCAGAGCTGTGGAGTTTGACTCTAAAGATGAGGAGCACACAATCATACCCATCACAATCACCTTCTTAAAGTTATCTAGGTATCAGTTTGAACACTTGAGTTGATGCATTGAAAACAACTCCATATTACACTATATCTATAAGCAAACCAGAAAACTTTATTTGTAGTAGCTAAGAAAGCAGCTTTTCATAGAGACTGAAAAAAGTAGGAGAAAAATGAGCTAGTAGCTAGCCCTTAAGAAATAATTTTAATAGTTTAAAAATCTTTCACAGAATCTTACTTAAAAGGAGGTGACATTAACTCAACATTTAACAGAGATGAAAATAATTTTTAGTAAGACTCTGGCCTAAAACTAGGCCTTCGATTGCATACTTTCTAGTTATAGATGTAAATCCTCAAGGTACATGTATTAGCTCCAAGTCAACCAAATATGAAATAAGGCTAGCTTATCCTTCAATTTTTTATGCCATAGAGAATGAAGAGAGTAATGAATGTATTTATGATTCCACCATTAAAAATGTCACTTAAACTGTAACAATTTTCAAAGTACCTTGACATATCAGAGAATACATTTCCAATGCCTATATAGCTACCTATCTTTATAAGCAACTATGACAATAAAATTGTAAATTTTGTTTAAAAAAAGACTGTTGCTCTTCCCAACTTTTATTCAAAGTTGAATCTCTGTTATTGATAATACTTAGACAAACTTTATCTTTCAAGGTTGTAAAAATTAAAGGCATTAAATTGGTATCTAAAATCAAAGAATAGCTTTATGTATGAAGTAATGTGTTGTGTGCTGACAGTTGGCAGGAGAGATTATACAAAATGTATTGAGACTAATGCTATAGAAAAGATTCTGTGTGTATATACATACCCCCCCCAGTAAAAATCCAGTTTTAAAAACTGACTCCCTATTGGGCAAATACCCAAATGCCAAGTTTTAAATTCAGCATTATCTTATCTCTCTTTAAAGAAAAACTGTTACACAAACATTAAAAGTATAATGAGTTAACAAAAGAAAACCTTTGTTTAGGTTAGCTAAAGTTTTTATGTATAAAACAAGTGTAAATTTTTTCTCTAAAATGAAGTATCAAATAACATGGAAGAATGTTATAGCCCGAGGAAAGCAGCAGAAAAATCTTGTGGCCAGGTTATGTTTTTATGACTTTAAGCTCAGTATTTCCATGCTTTATATGTCTTATACTAAACAAAATCTATGAATACAAACTCAGGCCAATAAATTATGCATTAATGTTTAGAAAAATATACTTTGCCTTTCTGCTAAATGTGCTACAAAAAGTAAACATAGCAAACACACTACAGAGCTTGAGCATTAAAAAATAAAGCACAAATCTTACTGTGGCTGCAGAAAATTAGTATTATAAAGGAAAGATTTGTCATATAATATGACAACTTTCCTATATATTCTAAAGGTATACTGAAAAGGCCACTAATGAAAAACTGTAATAAAAGACCATACTTTGCTGTATGAAATAAGAGCCTGTGAACTGGCAGAAAAATATTCTAATTTCAAAAAGTCCACTGTATTATACCCTATTTACCACTAACATTTCCATCAAGATTACTAGTCCTTTAAATGTGAGATTGGTAAAAAAGCTAAACCAAAACAAAACCGGAAAACTAGCTAACATTTAAAGGTGTAGCCTCAACCGATGTACGTCCTTTCCCTTATTGTTCATATTTAATTTTCAGAACCTATTAATACTACTTAGAATTTCTAAAGCATTTCTAAAACTTTCTTATTCTAAGTCATCTCTCAACACAATAAATACTAAATTATAGCACAGTATGCTAACAGAATCACTTAAAGCACTGTTCTGACATACCTTGGGATCTGTTCCTTGGCTCTTCAAACTTGTGATGCTATTTTGCTGATGGAACAACTACTTGCTCTGCTGATGTGCAACTAACCTGGTCTGTAGACAAACTAGTCACAAGGCAGTAGATTATAATTCTAAAGCCCACTTCCTTTCTCTGAATCATTAAAACACAAGAAAGGGGTTTCTAAGTTGAACTTTCTAATATTCACAGTATGAAATGGTTTGAAGTGGCTAATCAAATTTTGAAGAGCTATCTCAGTGCTCTTACACAGAAGTATGAGTTACCTCTGGCGAATTCCAAGGATTGCCCCAGGACAAGCTTCTCTCAATATGCTTAACAAATCTAATTTAGCTCCACCCACAAAACACATTTCAAAATTTGTTTCATAAAAATCAAGTGTAATTTTCACAATCAGGTTATGACTCACTCCACATAAGTCCTAAAGCAAATGGAAAACAAAGTCAATCAAATTCAGGTGGCAAGCTCACAGTTTAAAGCTTACAAGAAATGCAAATATAAAATAAGAACTATACAGTGAACATTTGGGTACAACATGCACTGATATTATTACGATTGCTTTGTCTACATGACAACTCCATTTCTATATTGAGAAAATATACATGCATTCTATGGAACCATTTCTCTAATAAATACATATATACCTCATATAAATACATTCTCATAGTAAACACTGACTTTACATTGTCATTTTAACAACAATTTTGCACTGAATAACAATAAATTACAACTCACTGTTGTGTACTTTGAATTGCTGAAAAAAGTCTTATAGATGTTTACACAGAGAATTATAGTAATACACAAAAACACATCAATAAAAATTGGGTGATAAATGTTTGAAGTAAAAAGAAAAAGGCTTTATAACCAAGCAGCATGGACATTAGGAGGTTTAGGTCTCAGCAACAAGTTGTTAGATGTGTCAGAACCCGATGGCTCAGTCTTACAACTGAGGCCACTGGTAGCACTGGATGTCCGGGAAGCCCCTCCTGAAAACATAAAGAAGAGAGTATTTGAATTATTCAAACTAATATGAGTCATCATCTGATAAGCTTCCTTTCCTTGTCCTAGACTAACTCATCATCATCATCTCACATATGTCCAATAGTCCAATGAAATGATTCTCAAACCAGAAGTACACTGAAATCCTTAAAAGCTGTGGCACTTAAAGCTGCTCAAATAGTTTAAGTGAAAAAAGAAAATCACTTTGCATAACCATTTATGTATTTATTCAACAAATAATTTATTACACTCAAGGCACCATACTAAATATAGGTCACTGAAATGAGATCCTAAATTAGTCACTATATTTTTAAAAATCAGTATTTGTAAAATGAATAGATGGAATTGCCAGTCATTTGAGTGTCTGAGACTCACCTAAACACTGAGAAGTCGTGGCACTATAAGTAGTTCCCGCATTCTTTAGTATGGCTTCCATTTTTATATACATATAGTTTAGAATGGACATGTAAAGTAACTGCACAAACTTCAAGTAAAGAAAAATGTCTGGCCTATAATCCCAACTACTCAGGAGTCTGAAGCAGAAGGATCCCAAGTCTGAGGGCAGCCTGGGCAACTTAGTAAGATCCTATCTCCAAAAAAAGAAAAGAAAAAGAAAGAAAGAAAAAAAAGGGCTTGGAATGTAGCTCAGTGGCAGAATACTTGTCTAACATGTGAGAGGTCAGGCGATCAATTCCAAGTACTGCCAAAAAAAGTATTTGGTCTTTCTAATTGTTGCGTACCCTTGCTCTAAGTAGTCACTCCACTCCTGTATTCTCTGGAAGTACATGACTGGCTAGATCTGCAAATAATCACGTATCAGACATTAGGAGATCTATCTGATGACTACCGTTTGTTAAGTTTTGTGCTAGTTAACCAGAAAAGGTGAAAAAAACACACATTAGAGCTAGAAGATATTAGCAGTAATTTCTAACTGGCTGGAGGGAATGTTTCAGCCACTGTCAAACAGCACTTCTATTAATTTCTTCCTTTAATAAACATGTTAAAATTTAAAAGCCCCTCCTTTATTATCTAGAAACTACTAATACCTTTAGTTGTTTTAACTCTTGGATACCTTCCTCTGCTACTATTACATGTTGTATATAAAACCTGAGATTAAGTAAACACAAATAAAATAAAATGTGACAGCAAAAAAATAACAGAATTCCTGAAGTTAACATTTTAAAATGTTTTGTTTTGTTGGTACTGGAGATCGAACTCGGGTCCTTGTGCTTTCAAGGCAGGTGGTGGCACCACTGAGCTAAATCCCTGGCCCTTAAAATCTGTATCATAAGAACATAAGCTACATTAAAAAAAAAAAAAAAGGATAAAAGATATCAACAAGTACAGAATACTTTTGAATATGCTTACTTAATGGGCTATACTGTCCAAGCATAGACCTCACTCTTCTGGAGGAAGGTGCTGGGTTGAGATAACCCATATTGCGATGATAATCCATCAGCTGTTCTGAGCGTTTCATACCAACTGTGGGCTTCACAGCTTCAAGCCTTTTCAATAAAGCCTTCATTAAAAACAATTTGAAAGTCAATGTGAGATAAACAGCGATAGGTCATAAAAAGGCAAATAGTTTCTAGAACCTGAAATTCATTAAGTAGATAAGATTTTAAGTCACTCCTGATAAACATATAAAAAAAATACTCTGAGAAAAATTCAAGGATTTTTACTATCCTATAGGTAATCAAACCATGATTAAACAACTCATTACAGGTATATCTTCTTTCACATCAGGTTCCTGTCTTAGGAAAAGGTCCTGTAAATTGAAAAACAGTAAACCTGATTTTCTCACAGAAATGACAAAATGGCAGTTATGTTAAGAGCCCAGTATTAAACCTTTGAAATGACCACAAACATATCTAAACTACAATCCTACCTGTACGCTACACAGAGCAGAGGCTTTTAACCTGTTTGGTTTGCAGTGGCACCTCAAGGTTCCTAGGTCAGAGAAAAGGCTAAATGAGCAGGGATCTCAGGTCTCCCACTCCTGATTTCTACCAACACAATTCTTTCCATACTTTCTGTTTTACATACTGAAGGTTTTGAGTGGAATTTACTTCGGGGGAGGGGTGGTGTTAAGTCTGAAAACCAATTGTAAAGAAGTTTTGTTTGTTTGTTTTTTAGAGGGGAAGGGGTTTATTTTGCTTATAATTCAAAGAGATTTCAGTCCATAATTGGCCAGCTCCAAAGCTGGGTGGATGACAGATAGGTGTTGCAGAGGAGAAACCACATGGCACGCAGAGGAGAAACCACATGGCACGCAAAAGGCAGCAAAGATTAACAGGAAAGGAGAACATAGGTTTTTAAAAGGATGTTATGAGTTGGATGTGGTGGCACACGCCTAGCACCTGGGACACTGAGGCAGGAGGACTGCTGAGAGTTTGAGGCCAGTCTTGGTTACATAGTGAGTTCAAGCACAGCCTAAACTACACAGTGAGGCCGTCTTAAAAAACAAACAAATAGGGCCAGGGATTTACCTCAGTGGTTCCACTGCCTGCCTGGCAGGCACAAGAACCCAAGTTTGATCCCTGGTACCAAAAACACAAACAAAGAAACAAAATAAATAAAAGGATATATAGGGCCGGGGATTTAGCTCAGTGGTTCCGCTGCCCGCCTCTCAAGTGCAAGGTCCTAAGTTCAATCCCCAGAACCAAAAAAAAAAGGATATATAAACCAGGGCCAAGGTAGCACAGTGATCAATAACATGGTATTTTCTTTAATATGATTCAGTAACAGAGTCTTATATATAATGTCTCTAATTTTATTTCTAAATCTTTCTTAATTAAAAGCGAGTTTCTTCTCCTATGATACTGGGGATTGAATCCATGGCCTCACTGAGCTACATTTCCATTTCATTTTTCATTTTTTTAAGACAGGGTCTTGCTAAATTGCCCAGTTACGCAGTTTGGGCTTAAATTTAGAATCTCTCCTCAGCCTGGAATTACAGGCCTCCACCATGCCTACCTTATTCTACTTGATTTTCACAGGCATCAGGGAGAAAGAAATATTTGAGATCAAATGATTTGAGAAATTGATCCATAGTTCTGTTTTATTACTTTTTTTTTGTACCAGGGCTCAAATTCAGGACCTTGTGCTTCCGAGGCAAGTGGTGGCACCACTGAGCTACATCCTTGGCCCTTATTACTTTTTTTACTGATATAAATTTTCTCTGAAGTAAGCTGATCTTTATTTGAAGAATGAACCAATCAATACTGAGATTCACAATAAAAAATAAGTCTTGTGAATTTAGTCCACAGGACTTTTCCCTAGATAATCTTTTTTTCTTTCTTTCATTTATTGTGCTAAAATTATCACTTAAAATTATCAATTCAAGCCTTTAAAGTGTGTAATAGTGGCATTTAGTACATTCACATTGTTGTGAACCATCAGCACTAACCATTTCCAAATCTTTCTCAACTTAAATCTTTTGCGCTCACCTCCCGCCCTTCTATTCTGAGGTGCTGGTATCAGCACTATCAGTATTTCTGAGCAATTCCAAAGAAAGGATACATGATGGCAGAATAAGCCGAGATATTTAGGAGAGGAGCTGTTTAGAAAAGAGAGAGGAGGAGAATATTTTAGAAAGAAACTCAGTCTCAGAGACAAATGGTAGAGGTGCAGAACACATGAAGACAGGCCAGCTGAGAAATCTGCATTACTGTCAACCTGCCTTCCTTTTACACAGAATATCCTTTCTCAGCTTCTATCTTTCAAAAGCTAGAACAGATTCAATTCCTTAGTGAAGTCTTACCCAACTGGATTTAGTGGTTCTCTTTGCTGAACTGAAGAGTTATTTTTGAACATGGTTCCACTAACTGTAAAGTCTATGGTCTTCCCATAACATATTATCTTTCTCTTTCTGTGGACAAGGACGCTGTATAATGCAGGTAGTAAGAACTCCTAAAATGATTATCTTCCTTCCTGTAGTTTGCAACTGTGGAAGAAATTTCCTATGTACTGTGTATCACATTTTCACTGTATGGGCAAAGTAACATTTGTTGTTTTCTCTGATTAGTCTATTTCTACTCATTGAGCTATGTAGTATAGAAATTTTGATAATTTCAGTTATCTATTTTTTTTGTTTTTGGTAGAAGTGATATGTTTTTATCAAACTCTTGATTTCCTAAATTTATTTGATAGGGTGTACCTTTTAAGAAAACTACAAAGCTTATTCATCAGATATAAACACAGTATATAAAGAAATATGATCAAAATCAATCTTAAAATAATTTGCCTACAAGGCAAAAAGTAAACCTGTCCTGCAGTCTGATAAGTCAATTATGTAGAAACTTGGGGAAATAAAGAAAATTATTTAACTCAACTATCCAAACAAATCACACGGAGCTATACCATGTGTCTGTCTGGGTGTGAGGCATATGACCTAGTGCTGGACAGCTCAACAGGGTAACTATCATTTATTTTATAAAGAACTAGAGGAAAGGAGTTTGAAGTTTCCCAAAATAATGAAATGATAAATGTTTAAGGAGACAGAAATTCTAGTTATCCTGATTTAATCTTTACCGATCGAATACATGTATTGACTTCCTACATCTCCCTTTATTAAGCCCCATAAATATTTGTAATTATTGTATGTCATTAAAAGAAAGATCTGGGCTTATATCCTGGCTCTGCCACTGACTGTGTTCCTTGGTCAAATACACAATAGGAATACTAGCAATGAACCTCAAAGAATCAGGTTTTAGTGATAAGCAAGATAACATATACTAAGTGCTCATAACAGTGCCTGATATCTCATAAGGACTTATTAAATATTAATACTTTCCTAAGTTGCTTTGTATTATTTTCTAGTTGTCTGATATAAATAATTTTATCCTCCCAGCAAAGCTATGAATTATACGATAGTTATGGCAGTATTTTATACTTTCTTATATTCTTTTCAAAGTTTTACATAGCTAATTGCAGACATTAAATATTTGTTTAATGAACTGAAAAACCATAAGAATGGTTATTTATATTCCAATTTATGGTTTACAAAACCTTAGAACTGGCAGTCAAATCAGATTCTAATAATTTCAAAATAGTTTGTTCTTATATTCCTTTAAGGGAAACAGCAGGTTACAGAACAGCGTACAATGACATTGCCAATTTATTTTCAAAAATGTATTTATGTATAAATATATTGAGAAATAAACTAGAACTGTGTTCCTGTACAATGGTACCTCAGTTCAGAAACTTAATTCTTCCAACGATTCTGGTCACAAACCAAACTGGCTAAGAACCAAATCAAATTTCCCCATAAGGTCAACACTGAACCTAACCATTGAATTTGATTTGGTTCTCATCCAATTCGGTTTGTGAGCAGAATTGTGCAAAGAATGAACTTCATGAACCAAGGCACCACTGTAACTTTCAATCTGTCTCTGGGAATAAGATGATGAACACACTTTTTTTTTTCTGTTTAAGAGTATTTTTTTTTGGTACCGGGTATCGAACTCAGGTCCTTGCGCTTGCAAGGCAGGTGCCGGAACCACTGAGCTAAATCCCTGGCCCAATTTAAAAGTATTTTTGACTGTGGTATTATAAAATATTTCTAAGAGGATGAAATTTAGAATTGCTATAAATCTGAGATGACAGATACATTAATTAGTTCATAACATATGTGTATCTTGAAATGTGTTACATATCTTAAATATATGACCTTATTCATCAATTATACTCAATAAATCTGGAAAAGAAAAAACAAGTTCAATAATTCAATAGGATGTCATAATTGAAATTCAACCAAAACTAGTTTGTCCAATTTATTTGGGGGGAAATTGTAGTTTTTGAAATTATATATATTTAAGGTAAACAACTTGATGTTTACTTTATATATGTCCGATATACATATATCCTCATATGATCAACAAATAACAATCAAGCTAGTCAACATATCTACCATCTCACATAGTTAACCATTTTTTGTATGATAAAAAAACTTAAGATCTACCCTCTCAGCAAATTTCAAGAACACAAAGTACAAAGTAGTTTCAGTTATACAATATGAGTAAGTTCTAGATCTCTAACGCACAGGATGGTGACTATATTTAAAAACTACATATATATATATATTTTTTGTTTGTTTGTTTGGTTGGTTGGTTTATTGAGACAGTGTTGGCTGGCCTTGTACTATGTAGCCTAGGGTGCCCTTGAACTCTCGGCAATCCTCCTGCCTCAGCCTCCTGAGTGCTGGAATTATAGGCATGTGCCATCACGCCCTGCAATAATATTGTTTTAAGTCAGGCGTGATGGTACATGCCTATAATCCCAGTGCCTGGGAGGCTGAGGCAGGAGAATGTCCTCAAGTTTGAGGCCAGCCTGGGCTACACAGTGAATAAGGCTATCTTGAACTACATAGCGAGACCTTGTCTCACAAAACCAAATAAAATAAATAATACTGTTTTAAATACTTGTCCAAATATTTTTTATATCTAGAAGTATTATTCTAATCTTTTTTTTTTTTTTTTTTTTTTTGGTACCAGAGATCGAACTCAGGATCTTGTGCTT